CTCATTAAACAGTTCAATGGTTTCTTACAATTCCTGCTGAACGAGAACCGGACTAGCTCGCCAGGTATTTCACCACTAACATCGTGCATGAGTAATGAGCTTTAAATATACGGTAATTCACTATGAACAAGGTCATTCGACCTCTCCCTGCAGAACGGTCGCACACTAGGTCGTTGCTGACTATAAACAATTATGAATTACCCAGACGAGTGAACTCTCCGTTTTTACTGTTCTTCTATCTCTCCCTTTCTCCTGGAAGATACTGATTACTTTTATTGAGAATTCTTTACTTCACTCAGCACCTGTATGCTCCATATTAAGCTTGGAAATTCCGACCCGATAACTCACGCCCACTTATCTGCACGATCTATACCGACACGTAGTCTCCGAAATGCCCATCGAACCACAGGCAGGATTTGCTGCCAAATGCGATTGACCCGCATATGACACAGTCGTTTTTATCCAGGAAACGGTGAACCACATTGCGTCATTTGTAGATGGATTTTAGAGAGGCTCTTGGCACTGCGTCTACTCTCATATTATATGCACATTCTTCCAGTGGATAGCAACCCCTTCGCTCACGACCAACGGAGACGATAGACTTCTGTTCGCCACGACCAGATTATTCATCTAATCACAAGAATGGTTGATCATTCAGTTGGTAGATATATGTAAACACGCAGTGTCATGTTCAGCATTCAGGACTGGATAGTCGTCATATTTATATCGATCGTTCGAACCTGCCTTAACATAGTTAAAACTTTATGGATAAAGGCTTCCTGGTTCCAATCCATTCCGACAGTATCCCACCTCTGATGCTTTTCAACCGCAGACCTCCAAATGATGCAACAGCTGGGCAGCCTAAGTTAACCGAGTTCAAAGGAATTGAGTGGGTTTCGAGTACAACTTGGTGAGAGATATCTAGAGCGCGAATTTACTAACCGGGAGATCTGTGGTTCGAACCCGACCTCTACCTCTCGATTTCCCCTGTCTAGGCTTGGGCCACCGACCAGTATCCCAGCCCTCGTGTAACCTTCAGGTGGCATGGCAGTTAGACACCGAAAGGGTGCTACAGCTGAACGGTTTTTCAAGTACAACTTGGAATAATACTGGCTGAATCGTGTACTTTTCTAGTGGCATACCAACAAAAATTCGGCGCTCATTATTTGAGGATGGGTAGTTGTTTTTAGGAAGTCTCATGTGGTTTGAGTGGAGGACGACCGTTCTACTCCTTGTGTGGCCCATTAGCGCTGTGACTGCTTCCGACTCTACAGATTTAGAGGCCAATATAACTACAATTAATTAATTAGTTACAACATTAGTCCACATTTTTTCGGAGAAAACACCCCTACATTTGCGGGGCAGTTTGGATATCAAGAGGGATACACAAGATCATCCCTGCGACCTAATCGCTTATCGTCACAATTTCGTGAAGACCGATTAACTCAAATACGAACACAACTTAGGCACAAACAACTAATCACAAGTCAGATTCGAACGCCGGCGATTGGTCAGGATAGCACGGCACATAGGCTAGAGCAGCTGGAGCTCACATTTGTTATGTTTGAACGTACATAGGTGACTCAAATGGTGACTAAATTTCAATGTATTTGATGTATTTCGATGTATTTGACCAACAAGTAGCACTGGCAACAGAGACTCGATTACTCCTATGGACCTCAGCTCATATCTCTTTGAGGATTGCTTCACTTCCATTGATAGCGACTTTTTTCATGTTGCACACTTTCTAGAACGCTACTAAAAGCCCACAGTGGGTCCCGTTTTTGCAAGATATGGAAGATTTCCGGTATTAAACATCCCAAGCCATAACTACAGCAGCTTCCGGACTCGTGTATGGTTATGGCGTTTGATATCTGAACTAAGCAGTTGTGTTTTGCCCTTAACGCATGTGTGCTTGTGCGTCAGTTTGCTGATTGACGTACCAGATAGCTCTGATTACCTGCTTCGCTCTCACATCTACCAGTCTCATGTTTAACAGTAACAAAAATCCTAATGAACTAGTAATGTCTCGTGGTGGTAGTGAGCTCCAGACCATTGAGGTCTGAGGGAGTATTTTTTATGACTGCCAGCCTACTGCAACCGCACAGTGGCATGAACACTAGAATTTTTACGTTCAAATAGCCTCTGAAGAAAACCTTGTCAATATGGAATATGCAGACGTCATCGTTCTTGTCTTCGAAGGGGAGAAAATGTGCAGATAATTTTGGGTGAACAAATAGCCTCGAAGAAAACCTTGTCAATATGGAATATGCAGACGTCATCGTTCTTGTCTTCGAAGGGGAGAAAATGTGCAGATAATTTTGGGTGAACGGACCGAAGTTATTCTCTCCTTTAGCGTGCGCGAAGACCCCACTAGCTGTAAGGTCGTGCTTCTGGATATGTGGTCACTGAACGCGTCACTTATAATTCAACGAAAGGCACTCTGAGTTGCATTAGTTCTGTTCCGATGAAGTCAACCCACGAATCTGTAAGGCTCGGGTCGTGTTTGCTAAGTTGGGGCACTTATGGCGGCAAAGCGGTGTATACCGGAATCTCAAGGGACGTGTCTATCAGGCTACGGTACATGCTGTGAAACGTGGTTTCTGCGAACCACAGGTCTTTGACAACCGTTACTTCAGAACCATACCTCGTGTAGGCTGGTGTCGACGAATCTTCAACGAGGAACTTAGGAAGCGAGTGTTTGCTTGTACAACGGGGACCTTAATCGAAGAATGTATCCATCACCAAAGCTGCGATTGTTAGGCCTCGTAGTGCGCATGCTGAATCATCGTTTGGCGAAAGGAATGCTGTTTCCTGTGCTCAATTTAGTGGCGGTTAGCCCTTGACCTGGCAGAGGGGTATGAAACAGGTTACAAAAAGTCTGGGTGCTGTCGGTGCGACTGGCCTTTCGGGATTGGGTCCGCCCGGTACTCCATGTGCATGATTGAAGACGCTACAATATTTGGTTGCTAAATGATGTCAACGGCGTTCTTGTTGTCGTTTTCCATCCAGATTACCTGGACGAGTGCCTGAAGGCGTAGGCATCCCGGAATGGTTGTAATAGGGTATCACTCAGTCCTTGTCCATCCACTTGTATTATTTTCTTCAGAATAAGGCTTTTCAATAAATGATGTTTGCATGGCATCGAATCGTCAGTGCTGATCACTGATGTTCTGCTGCTGATGATGATGGCGACACGATGGTGCGATGTTTTTCAAAAACTAATATCTGCTCTCTGTTAGATCGGTGCCGTTAGACTACGTTCTGGCAGCGGCAATCGTTAGGTCCAGAAAAGTCGCTTATTCTTCCACACCCGAAGCGAAAAGTTCCGGCTCAATTTTCGTCATAGGTATCCCTCTGGTAAGATATATCACGGATGGTCCGTGGTTCGAACCCGATCTCTGCCTCTTGACTTCCCCTGTCTAGGCTTGGGCGAACTGACAGTATCCCAGCCCTCGTGCCTCATTCGTGTGGCATGGCAGCTAGGCACGGTGCTACAGCTGGACGATATATCACGGAGGGTCGCATAACGTTCAGTACGTTACTCTGTGCAGCACCTTGAGTACCGTATTTGCTCACCATCTGCCGTAATTGTGTTTGGTGTAATATCAGATGGATTCGTTCTACGTGTAGTTTATGTCACATCTACACTGCATAGTAGGGAGTGAACTGATCACTTCTTTGCGTGGCCACTTCCGCACACCATCTTTCTCCATATCACAGTATAGCTTTTTACCGTGTAGGTTGAGGCGCTCCAAGATGCGTCTTGCAGAGACCGGCGTGCCTCTACCATACGGTGTCAAGTATCTGCCGCATCATATTCACTAGCTGGTCACCATCTTTAGCATATTTCTGTTGCCGACCTTTTTGTCGGTGTTTTAGTAGTCTAACCACCTACTACCATGAGCCATCCGATATGGGAATGTAGTGCGTGACAGCAACTTCGAAAATCGTCCACGTTCTCATTTCATTACGTGACGTAAACGTACATCGTCGCTCTGCAGTTGGTTCGACCATGAGTCGAATTGACTTACTCGACTTAGGGTAAATCGATTGCAGATGTTTACCGACTTTTTCTTGTAAGAATATTCCTGCCGACTGGCAATACGGCCACTAGGGCTCGGATTGTTGTATCTAGAAATGTTATAGATGCAATCCATCATTCTTTGGTGTCACCTTGGTACATAGAAAAGTTCCGTTCGTAAAGTTTAAGGCCACTAGCTGGGTGTCAACCAAGGATAACTGCGTTTTGTCTGGATCCTTTGCAACTCATTAATACGAGTGAGTGAGTGGAACGTACGTACAACATTCACTTTTTTCTCAATTTTTTTTAATAAAAGCATGCACTCTCTAGAGAGACTTCTAGTCAAAAGCCAATTTATCTAAGGACTGCTGGCTCTAGTGTTAACACACTGCTAGTTTGTCCACATGCTCCTTGCTAATCTGCTTCATGTCTGTCCTAGAACGCATGTAAACCGGCCAGCTTTTGTTGTCTCCTAGTTGCATATCGGCCGAAATTGTGGGAAGTGTGGTGAGCATTTTACTTTGGGGCTGTTGGTCCAAGCTGTTTGAACTTCTTCGTTCTGGTTGATTACCTTCCGGACGGATTCGTTGGAGTTCAGTGCGGTTATTTGGAGTTATATAGAGGATATGGGTGTTCAGTGCAGCTCTAAGGCGATAAATATTGCCGGATTATATAGAGGTTGGATTTCCTAGTAGTGTGACTTCGTCAAGATAATACTGAGATGATTTCCGAATCTTTCAGTCGTCCCAGCTTTTTGTGATGAATTCCTGCACAACGATCACAGATACCGCTGTGAAATGCTGGTTTACATTTAGTCACGCTGAGTCGTGTAAACACGGTGTCCTAGACCGCGTGATTCACTATGGAGCGAGATGGCCCAGTGGTTAGAGTGCGAATTTACTGACCGGGTAGTCCGTGGTTCGAACCCGACCTCTGCATCTCGACTTTTGTCTAGGTTTGCACAAACCGGCAGTATTCCAGCCCTCGTGCTTCCTTCGGGTAGCATGGCAGCTAGGGACGAATGAATGCTACGGCTGAACGAGTTTTCTCTGTTCATTAGGATCTATACTTACAATTTTCCAGCTGGGAATTTAAACACCTAACCTTCTGGATGCAAGTGATTAACTTGCATTTGTGCAAGATATAGTGCCACCAATCCTTCAGTCATTCAGTTTACGTTACGTGATGTAATGTTGCTAAGCTCCTCGTGTTGTCGCTTTTTTGAAGGAAAGCCATGTGAATTGCCCTGTTTCTTCTTTCTTTCTAAATTCGGAGGTTGCGTAGCTTTCTTTTGTCAGGATAGTTATTGTCCCTCGAACGTACAAGGAAAAAAATCCAACTCCCGGTCTATCATTATGTATGCTGATTACCTCTAATAACTTTTCGATAAGCCATGGTGTAAGTAAACTGTGTCCCTCCGAGATTTGTGAGTAAATCCACTGTCACTAGACAATGGAGCCTATTCAGGCTTTTAATCAAGTTTACCCACCAAGCATTAATTCATATGAATCCAACATATGTGGCTTTCCGACCTATCCATTCTAATTTGTGTGTATTGTTCGTCGCGTAAAAGTTTTTCTTCGTTTTGGTTTTATCCAGATCAACAGGAAGCATTCAAACTCAGTTTGAATTGCTTGACTAACCTGTGTTGGTCCTGCCATCGGAACGAACTATTACGGAAAGCCATTGGTACGGACGAAAGATGTCGAACGTTTGTCTCTCTGATAAAGGACATGCTTTTCCAGAACTTGAATCCGGCGTTGCGTCCGTTAGTGATTGGTCTATTGTGCAATCTCACTAGAGACGAGGTGTGGGCAGCTCGGTTCTTTCAAGATGATCATGAAAGATTAATCAGTGCCGTGCTCCCAGCAAAAGTCATTATTGATGACACCATTCCGGTAATGCATATTTCTACCGTATACCTGAAATTACAGCTGCTTCTCAATATGACCAGTAATCGAGAACTTCGCCGTCGACTTTGTGCTAATGGGACATTCCAAATTCAACTGCTTAGCCGGTTCGCTTCCGAGTCCGACGCGGAACGAGCCGTCTTACTTGCCGGGATAGTTAAAAATTGCTGCTTTGAAGATGGTACAGATTATCTTTTGTCTAATTTCTTCATACTTGCTTTAGAGTACCACCCACAGCTACTTGGTCCCAGGTCTCAGTTACTGGAGGTTATACTCCGGCCACTTTGTGGTCCAGAAGATAACATCGACTCCGAGGACAAACAAGCCCTTCCTGTCAGTTTGCAGCAGCTGATCGGGAACCCATCCACAGTTCGTAGCAAATCGAATGAGCTCAAGTCGACAATTTGTCATGCACTGCTTCAGGTAGGTTTGTTGTTGACATGAAACTCTTCTGGTTCAGCTCTGTGCTACGAGTTGGGGACGAAATCGTCTTCGGTCTGTTGGGACGTATTTTATCCTTCGGGAATTGCACAAATACGAAGGCTCGAAACTCTCCGACGGAACTTTAAATGATATAGAAATACTTTCTACAAAATCCCTACTTTATGACATAGAGCAAGTTGTTGATCAGCTCATATGTGAGGAACGAGACAGAGACCAAGCCACGACGGAGAAAAGCCTTCGTGATATTGAAGTAGACGATGAAATGGCTCAAAAGCTGGAGCGAGATCGGGTGGACTACATTGGTGTCAGCTGAATACGGACTTGACGAAGTAGTCGTTTTTCAAGGTGATCATAAATGTACATAATGATTAAATTAATTTCGGCTGATATTGGAGTTTTTGGTCACTTCGGTTCGGTTGGGCTAGGCGGCCGCCATTCACTTTATTCGTGATGCGTTTGAACTACTACCAAACAACAAGTAATATATCAATCCATTTTCTTCAAAGCCACTAGTGGTGGCCCAGCGACATTTCATGGCTGTCGAATCTCTGTTGAGATACTACCTGAAAGAACTGAACAAAATTGTTCAGAGAGGTTGTTTTTTTCTGAGGGGAACCAGTTAAACGTTTTCAAACTATTTAAGAAATATTTAGCAAACAAATAAACTTGCCTTCTGGAAGCCGTATTTCTGTGTCAGTCATCGGGGTGATTGAATATCTCTGTCGGCATGCATTCATGGTAATCTCGTTATCTCACCTTCTTTAGACTGATATCATTGTTTTTCAGATTCAGGCGGAATGCTTTCGGTGCCAACAAATCGATAAAAATCTGTGGTTCTCGGACGAAGATTTCAAGCAGTAATGGAGACCGTCCGTCTTGAAGACAGTTACTAGGGACAGGAATCATTGGTCTTGTTTACAGACAGTTCACAGGGTTCCTATCTCCCAAGTAAATATGGCGTTTGTTTTGGTTCCTAAGGTATTGAGGCAATAGGAATAGGAGCGCTTCGATTTAATGTGAGATCGGGGACAGTGCAAAGCTTCAGGTTATTCACAATGTATTCCCGAGCTTATTGCTATGAATGTTCGCCTCTATCATGAGTTCTCTGAGTTTGATCGTTGTCCTCGCAGTCAGGGAAACTTCATGGTCACCTCTGTCCAGTTTGTCTGCTTTACAGATGTACTCGCAATGGCCATCAGTGTGGTCGGCTATACCACAGCCGCGACAAAAACTTTGTGGAGCCTAGGACTGCCCCGAAAGACATGATTATAGCTCGAATTGTTAGTGAATATCTTATATTGGACCATGCAAAACCACGTCACGCCTAGCGAATTGTGACGAATGCAAACCGCAAGTTGGGATGCGGCTAGTAATTCTGACTTATCTACGCTTTCGCCGGTGTCCTAAATTCATTTCTGCGTTATGGTGTTAGATACCCGTTTACAAGTGCATAATCAGATTGTTTCGCGGAAAGTGCATCATTTCTGTGTATCTAATTGATGCTCTGTGTCTACGGATTCCGTTCCAGGATTCTATAATCACCGGTTTGGGTGTGCAGAGCTGACCATGCCTGCAGCGTAAGGAAATCTGCTAAAACACTGATCCTTGCCTTCTAATTGTGTGATGTCCTAGCGAGACGGCCGAAGTGGTTAGAGCGCGAAATCGCTGACCGGAAGGTCCGTGGTTCGAACCCGCCCTCTGCCTCTCGACTCCCCCTGTCTAGGCTTGGGCAACCTGGCAGTATCCCAGCCCTCGTGTAGCCTTCGGGTGGCATGGCAGTTAGGCACCGGAGGGGTGCTACAGCTGAACGAACGATGTCCTAGCTAATCCAGCCTCCCACCAAGTGGCACCATCATGTGGAACATGCTATACTCCTATCGAAATTCTCCCTATTTCGGCTGATTTTCTGAACAAAGACAAATATTCGACTTTGTTTAGACTGTACTTTCTTGTACTGTTTCGCTCACATCTCAACCCGGTAGGCTGCATTTGCTGTCGGGCGCTTTTTCGGGGAGGTGCACGACTGAGCCATGGTGATTGTTGTCCGAGTTAGAGCAACTTATTACCCACTGTCTTCGTTCAAAATGTCACCCAGGCGTAAAAAAATGAACTCGCAAAATACAGTTTGTACTTTGACAATCTATATTCGTCTTTTGCATTCATTTACTAGGTCACTAATTGCCGAAAAGTGTACACAGGCCATTCACCAGTAGTATGCCAAGTTGATAGGACAAATTACAACATAATGGCATCAGAGAGCCGATAAGTTCGAGTGAGGGCCTTGGGACGCACCAAACCACGTCGATCATATACCTCAGTTGACCTCCCTAACCGAAGTTCCTGCATGCCTTCCTTTAATGCGCCGAACACTGAAATTGTGACCACAAGAACCTATCATATGCGCCTGACCCCAGTAGGACTTCAATTTTCGTGAACCTGACGGACTGACTGGCAGGCCCAATATGCAACATTTCATTGCGTTGTATCCATACATCACGAAAACTGTGGTTTCTCTTAAAAAAGTAGATAGTTTGGTGTTAACTACATATTTCTTTGTACTCATAGGCATAGCGCGCTTCGGTACGAAACGTTGGACAAAATTGGTGGAAATTAGTACGTTTATGTCCAGGAAAAGCAGGATACAAAACCACCATTTCGACCAATACTCGTATATATATATATACATATAGTGTGATCGCAGATTTTTTTCATAAGTCTAGTGAGAACTGCAGCCGGACCAGAATCGTTGAACTAAAGATGCTCGATTCTAACCGATCAGGGAATGCCTTCTGGTCCGTGTCAAGTTCGCGACGTGGTTTTCGGTCATTTAGAGCGGCCCGTCTCTGGCTACATTTAAAGCAATGGAACATCTTCTCTTAAGCACTTTTCAAGAATAAAATAATAATATTCAGCCGCAACTACTTCGATGCCTAGCTGCCGAGCCACCCGGAGGAAACACGAGAGCTGAGTGACTACCGGATTGCCCAACCCTAGACAAGAACTTTCGAGATGCAGAGATAGGGTATGACCCACTGACCTTCCGGTCAATAAGTTCCTGTCTAAATTACTGAGCTGTTCGGAGCCGCTTCACTTGATTCTTCCTATCTTTTTTTCTGCATTTGAGACAAAGTTCCAAGCAGGACCAATCAACCATAACCACCATCGAAAATATGGGTTTTGCCCATTAATTTGGGCATGGTCGATCATTTCACAAATGATGCAATAGAAAAAGCGTGTTATTCTAGTCGAGTACTTTGTCTGGTTTATCTAAGCCCGAATCACCCGCTGCCTGTGTTTTTAACCAGCCTCGAAAGGTCCTATCTAATTAACGAAAGTGGCTCACGCCTTGATACTATTATAGCATGGTCACAGACATAAGTGAATGCAAGCGAGGAATGCGAAGAAGCAACAGGAGAATATGAGATAAAAGAGAGAAACGTCTCATTTGAAGTCATGCCACCAACAGTTCCAGTCAGATAAGATGAACCCCAGCGTATATATGGGTTTTCGTATGGAAACACGCGTGTAAAGACCGACAACCGAAGAATGGACAAACTGCTGAATGCTTTTCAAGGCGCGGTAAGCGCTAGCACAATCAAGACTCACACTTCATACACAGTGTCCGTCAGGCTGGGTCTGGTGTGAGACTAAATGGCAAAAATGTACACTCAACGCCGTGTGCCGCGCATAAAATTACGCAGAGAGCCCACTATGGCAAGCAAACAAGTCACTGACTGTGATCTTAGGAAGTCCCAGTCCAATACCGGCCTTGGCGAATTGACGAAAGCAGATCCCTCGATAAGAGATGGTCATCGGTTGGTGAACCAAAAAGTCGACATCACAACCGATTGCACGTAGGACTGAGATTATGGCGAGGGAATATTCATCAGTGCCGTACTCCTGCTTCTCATTCCACACAGTTACTCCGCGCCTATCCGAGACTATGCTGACGTCTATTACAGTTGCTTGGCGCTCGAACAGCGATTAAGGGCTTAATGAAGGAAGTCGAAGTAGGTGCTCTCAACTCCTCGAAGACGGTGTACCCCAGGTGACGGGGACATTTTGCGAGTTCCCTTGCAACCCGATTGTGACCAGCACATCTGGCGTCATGCGTGATCCAGCAGGGCTCTAAAATATGCACCAAACTCTTCGGTTGACCACAGTTTCCACGACATCAGCTCGCTGAGCATATCGTCGATAGTTCTACCGTCACGCTGTTCTTATTCGTGCCAAAATAGCTAGGCGACTCGGTGTCTCCCAGGTGGAGATCGTTTCATCCCAGGGCCAATAAGCGAAAATGGCTGATTGTACCACGGAGTGACACCGATGTCGCAAATTTTGTGTGTTTAGGCCAGAATGGGGAGTGTTCCCATGCTTCATTTGCTGGTCCCTGGTTCATTGGGAATCAACTTCATATCTCGTATCACCAAACTAAGAATTCTAGTCTGGAGCCTAGGAAATTTTACATTCGTTTAAGTGTGTAAAGCATGTTTCGTTTCCCAAGAAAAAAAGTGTAACAGATAAGGCACTCTAGTGTGACAGGACGTATCGCTATGGCTACCAACGGGATACTGTGCAACAAAGCCCAGTCACCAGTATTATTCAGCATGAAGACTATTGTTGTATCCTCCGTACGAATGTTACAGACACTACTAAAAGGAGCCGATAGACATTTTATGCACCAACCTCATATTTGTCATGCATGGTAAATGGAATGCCCGCGGAAGACAGTCGGGAACCGTAAGTGAAGCAACCTTCAAGTTGATACGCTTTCACCTCTAGGGCACCAAGTTATCTCTAGTTAGGCCAGGAATTTAAGTTTTGTCCAATTGCCTCCAACGCAATGTGAGTTGCGTTTCACAACTGCAGAGTGCTAAAAAATCGATCGAATCCCAGCCGTAAAAACAAGTCGATGCGTAGCTAAATTTGCTTACCTGACCAGCTGAAGACGAAGTCATTCCTCGAATATGTAATCTAACCTCTCCGAACTTAAGAACCTACGGCAGCGGTGTGGCGTTTCTTTGTCTGTCGGGAACACGTGACAGCACGTCTCATACTGGCTTATGAATCAACAAGGTGGACTCCACGTAAAACAGCTATAGGAAAGCTTTCGGTATTTGATCAAGGCGGCTCTGAAGCACTGACTGAGTCGGTTTAGAAACCAAACAAAGAATACTGAGGTGTGCCGTAGGGTTTTAAGGGAAAGGAACTTACCCGATGAGTCAGCTAACCACGCCAGTTAGGACGTGCTTCGCATAGCAGAGGACTGTGCATGTTGCAGAGCTCTACCATCCAGCCTTGCGTTTGCAGGGAGCGAACATTCAATGGTCTGCTAACAGTATAAAGGCCCTGACTCAGTCGAAGTGACAAATGTGGTCTCCTTGGTCGGGATCCCAGGACTCGGTGCACCCATGCTTAATGACACCGACAGGCGAGTTTCAATCACGCGGTCTGTGGTGCTCTTACAGCAAGCTATTGTTTCCATGGAATAACTGACCGTTTCCCCTCTTCATTGCCCAACTGGAATGGTCTAACAACAGCTGATTGATTTGGTCATCGCCTTTAATACCCGGCAGCATCTTCAATGATTACCAAATTTTTCTTGACCGAAACTCTAGCCGATGGAACATGGATTATGGCTGATAAACCGAAGTGGACTGATTCAACATGCCACAATCGGACCTTTCTGTTTCGGTATTTCCATTTTGAAAAAACGACGTCATCCGAGTTTTCCGACAGAACGAAGTCAACCTAGTAGTCAGTCTAGAAATGAACTTGCATCACACGAACCGAAATAGAGGACATCTCACCGAAATATGGGTTGAGGGAACCACGTTTCGATAAATGGGACTACACAACTCACCAATTACTTTACACAATACATTTGAAAGTTTAATTGTACTACTTATTGGAAACGGAGTACACTCTTGCATAACCTCGTCATAATAAGAAATCCTCATCTCCATAGGGGCCTATCCTGATCCATTACCTCCCACTTCGTTTATTCGCTGATCCCTGTGTACTTTAGTACTGAATTATGTCCAGCATTCCTTTCAATGGCAACCTCTTCAACAGGCAAATTAACTTTTAAATGTTATATTAACGGTCAGTAAGCAACCTTGTGTGGTTCATCAGTTCAGTCCTGCCGCTTTGAACTTAATAAAAAGGGGATGAAACAGTTCTTTCGGGGTCGTCTGCTAAGAATAGTTCAGAACCCTTTACAACACAGAGGTAACAACGCTACTTGGATGGACATACTACCGTACGGTATTACAGTATCGGACGGAATTTCGTCAACTTACTTCCGTAGGATCGTGCATATAAGCCAACTCTGTTATTAATACATTTTTGATGAATTATCTGCATGTACCACACTGAAGATGCTGAACCGGGACCATCGGATTCAGCGTGAATGACACCATAGTAGTTGATAGCGAAACTGATACCCAACGGCTTGTCGTACGCTCTCGCTATATTGCACACCCACGTTCACTTCTGTGAACGAATCGAAGAAATAAACGTGTGCGGTGTGTGAAGCCTAGATTAGC